GGTGATAAATGTTGTGAGCTTGCGCATTTTTATAAACTTGACGTTTCGTATGTCTTCAACATACATGTTCAAAGTGATCTAAGTACATTTTCAAAGGTAGTTTTGAAAATACATTTTCTAAATACATTTCAAAAGTGATTATTGGGGCTTCTTTTCCTGACCTCGTTTCAGCAAGCAGTCAAGTGTGAAAGTCTACTGGAACTAAGTACGTAGTACTTTTAGTGAAAGAAAACCATCTCAGCTCAAATATCAGAGCCGATGTCATTCATTTTAATTAGCTAGGTTGATTCGCAAAAGGTTTCAACTCCGTCTGATGTGAACTTGTAAGTTCCTGCCAGGAATTTTTGTGCGAAGATGCTGCCGTAGTTGTACCCGCTCGGTGGGCTGTAAGTAAAGCCAAGGTTGCTATAAGAATTGCTATTGGATGATGCGTAGCTTTTTATGTTAATGTCAAATCCTCCTCCGAATGTAGGCGCATATGAGGAAAAAAAGTATATGGAATATGCTTTGTGAGAGCTATATTGCCCTGTCTGAGACAGTTTAACAGGCGCCCATCCTGGTTTGTTCACCAGTGAAAATAAAAAGGCTTTGGAGTCGTATTGATAGCGGCCAGATGATGCTAGAGAGAAAGTGAAAAAGGACATTGAAAATAAGTTAGTAATAATTATTGTCCTTAAGTACCTATAATAATATCATAAATAATAATATTAATATTCAAAAGGTTGAGTTTGATCGTCCAGGTGAACGTAGTCCTGAGTAAGACTGTTGTTGTTGACCGTGACTGTCACTGTCAACAACAACAGTCCTATTCAGGACTACGTTCACCCGGATGATCAAACTCAACCTTTTGAAATGACTCCTGGGTTCAAACCTTTCACAATATTAATATTAATAATAACCGTAATTAATAACTTTTCTTTCCTTGAAGCAAATTCAAGTTGCTTAGTTTACGTACGTACATTATTCTTGGGGCTCATTCTCACCTTTTTAAGTCTGCTGAGGTGGGACGATCCTCGGTCCTTAAAGGGTCAGGGATGCGGACCCGCATCTAGATCCGCCAACCCTAAACCTTTACCCCGGCCACCGTAGACTTAACCAAGAATGAAAGGCAGGTTTAACTGAGTCTTTATAGCGTAGTACAAGCTGCACTTTTAGCTGAACATATGCTTAAATAACGGCACAATTCTCCTGGTTTACAATGTTCACTTACCCCATGAAATACTAGTGTCCTCCAAAAATATATCTCCTGACCCTTATTATTGTCACAGTCGGGCCCTTGCCGTCACATTGGGATTGAAGTGTACTTGCAGCCCAGCCGTCCACGGATGCACGCCAACAGCGCTTCCACAGAGAATTGATGCTTTTTGTCACAGGTTTAAGCCAGTTGCTTAAGGAGTTCAAGTGGTTTCTGTTGTTTCCCACAATGACGGAACTTTCAAAACCTAAGTATTAAAAGTCAACGTCCATAAAATGACATTTGAAAACAATTATTTTATGGACAGGTAAAAAGTTTTTAGAATGTTATTTAGAAAAAGGGAAAAAGGAAATGTTATTGAGAAAAAGAGTAACATTGCAAGTGACTAAAGATATCATGTATGCATGTATGCATGCATGTACGTGATTTGCACGCTATTAAGGAAGTTCAAGCATTTAAGATCATTGAAACTCCAGTAAACACGCATAATTGCCTTAAGTTGCAAATTTCTGTACGCGCAACATTCACTCGCGATGATAGTAGCTCTCGTCTGGCTTTAGCAGTGATTAGATGGTTTTTAAATGCCTGAAAAATAAACAAACAAACAAACAAACAAAAAAAAACAAAAATTGAAATAAAGCGGTCTTCGGATAGATAACCCTGCGATATATTTCAGTATAGCCGTATAGTTCTCGCAGTGGCAAAGTTAGACTTTCGAAAAATTGTCTTTCGTAATTTTTTAACACTCTTACTTAACCAAGATCGCAAGCTGGATATTAAAGTTTAAAAATTTGACATCAACTGGATTATTGTCATTTGCAGGGCTGAATTAGCAAACGAGTAACGTTGCAAGTAACTAATTAAAGAAAAAGTGCCGATTCATGTATTTGATTTGCTAATAAGAAATTTTGAGCATGAAACTCCAGTTAACACACAAGTCTTCAAATGCAAATTTATGTCAGCATGCACCTCCTACACAATGACTATATAGCTCTCATTGCTTTTTTTTTGTGATATTAAATGTTTAAAAAAAAGCCAGTCATGGATGGGATTTGAACTGATCACCATGCGATACAGCGGTATACTTTTGATGAGTAAAGAATAAGATGATGGTGGTGGTGATGATGCAAGGGGGGGGGGGAGGGGGTGGTGGGCACGACTTAGCGAAATTTCGTGTACCTATGATCCACCGATTTATGACATCACATCCGGTTGCAGAGTTGATGCTCTGTTTTCCGCGCGAAGCACAAAGATGGACGCCCGATGCTATTTGGTTTCCTCGTTATTTTTACCCACAGGCTAACGGAATTATGTATCTTGAATGCCGAGAATATTAAGAAGGTATATAGCCGGCCTTTCAAGCAAATGTCATGACCAAACAAAGAAGTTTTAGTATTATTTTAACGATAAATATCATGCAGCTGCGAGGAATGTCATGGCGAGTCTTGTGATGTTTCAAAACGAGTGTTGTTAACGTTTTGCGGCTTTTGCGGCCTCTGATTTAGAGAAGTCATCAATCAAAATATAATTTCCTGAGCGGAATAGAATGGGGAAAACGCCGATGGCCACAGTTTAAAGTGTTCACCGCTGGAAGGCTGGATCACGCCCCATAAAGTTGCAGAAACGTCCACTCAACTGCATGGTTTTGAGGAATGTCATGGTGAGTCTTTTGCTGTTTGTAATCGAGCGTCACTCAAGAGTTTGGCTTTCGCGGCTTCTGATTCATCAAAGTCACCAATCAAAATTGCCTATCCTGAGCGAAATTCCGTGGAGAAAAAGCTTATAGTCACAGTTAAAAGTGTTAACAGCTGGAAGGCTTGGCACTCGACGTAAAGTTGCTGCAAGGGCTCAGTCTTCTGCTGTTCGAAGACCCTCTGGCATGATGTCGCATAGATAAGGTTAGTAGGTTTGCTGATTTTTCTTTTAGTGCACGTGAGAGAATTACAAGGAGCGTAGAGTAGCGAAATATTAGAGTTATTCAATGTTAGAGCGTGAGCTTTTAATAGTTAAGAGAATTAGATAATTTTTTAAAGGATTGATGAAAGGGGAATTCTTAGAGAACAGGTGGTTACCATTAGAAAAGGGCAGTAAAACATCCGAAAGAACTACCCTTTTTCTCACAGCACTTTCTACTGGATCTCTAAAACTGTATTTTATTGTGTACACATAAAATAGAAAAAAATGTGACAGAGAATAGACCGTTTGCTTTGGGAGGTGGTGCCCCAAGAGGTGGAGATATTAAGAGGGCCTACACCAAGAAGAACAATATTATAACAAAAACAATAATCTTGTTGATCAATTATTATTACTAGTAGCCTTTTTTGAGTACGATAGTATACCAGAAAGATACCGCATGCCTGCAATTGCTGTGATCATTTGTTGCTTATGGGGGATTATGAAACTTAATGACAGCAAACTTAATTTGCACAGATAAGCAAAATTGCATTGCCAGTTATTTTCTCTCTGTGTGGTAGGGGATAGACAGTTCAATTACATGTGATGGACTGGAAGTATATTTTTTGCCAATTTTCCCTTGCCGAGCCTTAAAATCCATATTGTAAGACAGTTGTGCATAAGGGATATTTGCATTATTTGATTCTAGGATCCTTAAATGTTGTAATGAGAGGTCTTCATGGCCAAAACAAACAAAAAGTATTTTATATGAAACTTGAATGAAATTTCTACCTGGTAGGGAGTTGTTGGGAGAAAATAGCCTCCCTGGAAAAAGGAAGGATATTTTTTGTTCTGTAATATGAAAATTTCATCTTAAGACTTGCACTTTTTGTTACTAGAAACAATACATGTAAGCGATGGAACCAAAATTCGAAGGTTACTGCAATAATTCACTTCAGTAGAATGGTTTTTCTGTTTCCTAATAACAATGTCTTTACTCTGTAACTTTTTAATAAGGTTGACAGTGGTCTTCTTTTATTACAATGTTGAATGGCATGCCTGAGAGGGGAGGGAGGAGGGGTATGTACCCGTAGCTGGTGGGGCAAAAGGGAGTATCCAACAGAGAGTTCAAACCTTTTTAGGACAAACAGTCACCCAGTGCAGCTTTGAGTGAGCCAGTGATCATTTTTTTTTTCTTTTGGCCATACATGGACAGTATTTTTATTTTTTGCTTTATACTTCAATTTAAATTAATTTTTTTCCTGTGTTTTTGGGTATGAAAATGTATGATAATGAGTATGACACAAAGGAAACTAAAATTATCCAGGGATAAAATTGAACCATAATAATAATGATATACAGCTGTGTATAATTAGTATGTATACAACAGTTTTTCTTCTAGTGTTAAAGGAAATACTGAAATTTTATTCACCTACTTTGTTTGATTGATCAATGATATTATTATTGTTCTAAAAAAAAGAAATATCAAAACATTTTCAATAAATTACATGTACGAATTTTAGAAACGTGCAAACCAGCCCTGAGACATTCAAGCTGTATTTATTTCCCTTTTTCAAAAAAATATCCACATTCCTTGTTATTGACTAACGTCCTTTGATCCTGTATTTGGCTCAAAATCTTAGTTCTTAGATTCACAATGCATTTTTGATTCTTTTCCAGTATCTACTGAAAAATACAGTCAAATATATACCATCTCTTCTTAGTTGTATCCTTGACAACAGGCTTTCAATGCAATGTTCAAGTTGTTTTAACACACAATCCCCCAACAAGTGAGGGTCTAAGAAATATTGGGTAAATGTAGATAATTATAAACATCTTTTTTGTGTCAAAAAGTGTTTACACTCCTATTTCAATCTTCAAACGGCTTGATTTGCATAAAAAGAGTGTTTTTTTAATTGTTCAGTAGCTCTCGGCTCAAGTTCATATCTTGATCCCATCAATGTATCTTCAGTTTTAACCAGAGGTTTCAGTGGTTTCAAAACAAGCCAGTGACCACCGGAGTTCCATCGGCTACTTGATTGTATGTTGCCAGCAATTCCAGTGCCTCCAGCCTCCAGATTTGGCTGCCTACTTTAAAACATTTTGAAACCCCTGAAGGTTATCTACTGACGGTGAGCTAGTATAATTTTACAAAGGAACCCTACCAAAGGATCAGAAAGCCAATTAAAGCCAAGTAGTGTAGGATAAAGACTGATCATCTCAAAACCCACTCCCTATTCCATGGCACATACCTGTATAGAAGTACCATAACCTTCTCCCTGGGTGTTAAAGTAACAGTAAAGAGGGGTTTCAGGTGTAGCCGCTTGTCTTTGTTTTATTTTTCTGATTTTGCTACGACCTTTGCTCCTCTGTAGGGAAAGATGGTTTGGCAAGGGAAAAGCAGAAGACAGGTTGATCAAAGGATTTATTAATTCACATTTTGCTATCCATCTGTTAAGAGGATTTTCTAACCAGGCCCGGGTTGCTCGAAGCATGGTTAGTGCTAACCAGCGTTAAACACCATGGAAACCTGTACATTTTGATACCTCTTAACCAACGGAACGGTTAGCGCTAACCAGGCTTCGAGCAACCGGCCCCAGATCATTAAAATAGTCTGGAATTTATTAAAGCTGAAAATAAAAATACATGCTGTTCTTGTGGTTCCTTTAAAAGACAGGCTTAAATATATTGCAGGTCTGAAAAATGGAGTTGTAAATAAGCTCAGCTGGCTATGTTAATTTTTGATGATCTTTTTTTCCATCAAATTTAATTACTAGTAAAAACCTGCAACCAAGAACCTGTATTTTCCCAAGTTAGCCTAAACAAGTCAGGTTCTTAAAGAAAAACTAATTAGCACAGATTGAGGCTATTTAGGTTCAGTCTCAAATAGGTCCTTATTTTCTGAAAAAAAAAAAATACTTTGTAGCTTTGAGCTAAAAGTATTTAGTGGCATTCAGCTCTTTCCTTAGTATCTGTAAAACCTGTATGCCATCACATTGCAGTCAGAGTAATAATAAATATTATTAGACACCTATGTCTCAAAAGAGGACCCTGAATGTTGACCTATCTTACTTTCCCAAGTGTACACTGTGCAGAAGCTTTTTCTAAGAGATTTTATAAATAATGGTAATAGGACTGAGGGGAGTCCAATTCAGTCTGTAATCATACAAGTGTACATGTTACAAACTTGGTCAACTGCGAAGCAGGAGTCAGATTTGTTTAATTGTGAGTATGATTACAGATTGAATTGGACGACACAGAGTCCTGTTACCAATTAATAATTATAACCGTTACAATTTCCAAGAAAATAGATGCATTCCTTTTTGGTGAAAGAGTGTTTGTTCATACCAAATGTCCAAAGTAAGGGAAAATATCACTGGTGGAGACACTGCCTAAATGTTGCATATTCATCCATTTTGGATTAATCCCCAGTTTGTTTGGGTAAGTGATTGTTGCTATGGTTATCATGATAACTTCTGTGATTGGTGGATTTAGCTGAGTGCATTTAATATGATTGGCTAACATAACTGTCTGATTACAGGCAACTATAAACAAGGATTAAAGAAAAATAAAGCAGTTAATGCACCATTCAAATTTGAGGAAATTGTAATGGTCATGATGAATAACCTGTTTCAAATTTGAGTGCTCTTTTATAAAGACAGCCCAACTGGAAAATTTTAGCCTGACAGGTTCTTAAAAACCAGTTTCTCAGTTGTGGATTTTTCCTGTATCCTTGTTGAGCTTAATACTGCACATCACTATGCTAAGTGTCAGCCAATCCCTTTTTTGTTTCTCCATGTCAATGAGGTCAGATAGGGATTTACATTTGGTCTTCTAGACCATGGTGCCTTTAATAGAAAGCTTTCTTCTCCTAATCAGGATCATATTAACCATCCTTTACTCTGACTGATTAATTGAGGGATGAAGAACACTAAGGGATGAAGTTGTCATAACACAACCACCAACTCCTTTCCACAAGAGGAACAGAATGCTTAGGGATGGAAAATAAACATGAGAAACTGACTGAAGTATAGAGAGTATTCACATGACGTCACGGTGGCTATATTGGTGTCCCAAAACAATGAAACAGAGACCATGTTGGTGTCCCAAACTAATAAGTCAAGTGAGTGAATACTCTCTATTAAATTCAAGGTTAGTTTGGTTTCCTAGCTATAGTTGCATCTGGGGTGTTTGCCTTCGTATCTCCAAGGGAAATATGTGCAGCACAGCCTCCCCCCCCCCCCCCCCCCCCAGAAACCTTGATTTGTTCAAAGCTGCTTAGTGCAAGGTCATTAGTTTCAGTCTTTCCTGTGAAGTTTTTTTAAGTCTTACAAAAAAAACTACGGTTAATACAGTCATCTAGTTAAAATTTGCTGATCCCTGAAAAGAAAGTGAATGTCAGGGAAACAGACACTTAGCCTTGAGGTCCTTGAAAGAGAGTTGGCATGTAAAGTCAAGAAATGTCTTACCAAGGACCAGCTTCGAAGCACACTACTGTACACTGGCCTAGACACTGTCAGAGGATTCCATCTAAACAGAATTGACATCCTGAACCAGCTCAACATGATTTCAGTGTCTTCTGTTGCTGCAGATTTTCCATAAACCAGAAAAGTGTATTCCTCGAAATGTCAGCATTCTTCCTTCCTTTTGACTTATTTGGCAGTGAGTTGTACTTAACATTAATGTTTTATGGCTCTGTAACAACATTTCTGTCCTCATGGACTTTCACCTCTCTTTACGAGTTGTGTGGTAGATATACTTGTTAATACTTCTTGATATTCTCTTGTTTGTGCTCTTCTGTCATCTATTTTTGTCTTCCCAGCTAAGCAACATAAAATACATAATTTAAACATTAATGCCCAGAGGACTAACTTGTGCCACAGACAGAACTAAACTTCTGGTTAAGTCCCCCTGTGAGACAGAAGTGAAATCCTGCTTCTGGGCACCCCGTGGCCCAGCTGTGAACTAGCACTTGCATATGTGCTATGATTGGGCTCTTAAAAATACCATTATCAGTGTGCCAATCAGGTTGAAGGGAATATCGAAACACATTGTGATCGGCAGCCCAGAATATCGGCACGGCTTTGCAGATGTTACTAACCGGCAATAGATTATGTCTGCGACACAGGCTACACCGACGACCAGACTTACAGTGTAGGATTTAAATATACTATATTGTTTATAAATTCAAAAGTAAGCATATATTGAAGTCTTTAAAAATACACAAAATTCATTTTTTATACCTCAGATAATCGTCAGATAAAATAAGGTGCAGTACAGCATTATGAATGACCCTAACTGACACTTAATTCATAGCATGCAATTTACATCAATTAAAAGAAATACAAGTAATTACCAAGCCAAAATATGTGTTTTGCTGCAGGAAACTTCTAACGTGTTCTAAAGTAACCAGACCTCTTATTGAGTCTCATATTACAGCTCTAGTGATCCCTCCAGACCTTCAAACCTCTAAAACAGTTAAAACAGCTGTTTTGTTTTTTCACTTTAATTTCATTCTTTTTTGATATTTTACTAATTAATTACATAACTATAATCACTGTAAATCGTAGTATCTTTTTTTCAACTGTTAAGGTCAAGAACCAATCAACACATGTTCGGGAGCGATTCATTTTTAAATAAGTGTTGTAGTTATCAGTTAAGATAAGGAGTAATTTCGAACTAGTCATTTTGACAATATGACTTGTAGTGCATAAGGGTTTCTTTTCAGGTGCGTTACACTTGCAAGCTTAGAAAAAAAGGAAGGGCACAAACTTTCGTGATTTCTCTCAGATAATGACAAATTGGACTACTTTTGGGCTTAAGGCTTGTTCTAAACATAAATCTTCAAAGGCAAATTAAATGCTAAAAATCCAACACTAACCTTCCAGAAGCACGCAACATGTGACTATTTCGAAATTAGTTGAGTAGAGCTTTCAGCAACTTTACGTCGAGTGGCAAAGCCTTCCAGCTGTTAACACCTTAAACTGTGACCATACGCTTTTTCTCCACGGTATTTCGCTCAGGATAGGGTATTTTGATTGATGACTTCGGTGAATCAGAAGATGCAAAAGCCAAAGTCTTGAGTGACAGTCCATTAGACAGAGACAGACTCACCATTACATTGCTCAAACCGTACAGTCGAGAAGAGCTTTCATCAACTTTACGTCGAGTGCCAAGCCTTCCAGCTGTTAACACTTTAAACTGTGACCATAAGCTTTTTCTTCACGGTATTTCGCTCAGGATAGGCAATTTTGATTGGTGACTTCGATGAATCAGAAGCCGCGAAAGCCAAACTCTTGAGTGACGCTCGATTACAAACAGCGAAAGACTCGCCATGACATTCCTCAAAACCATGCAGTTGAGTGCAAGTTTCTGCAACTTTACGGGGCGTGATCCAGCCTTCCAGAGGTGAACACTTTAAACTGTGGCCATCGGCGTTTTCCCCATTCTATTCCGCTCAGGAAATTATATTTTGATTGATGACTTCTCTAAATCATAGGCCGCAACAGCCGAAAAACGTTAACGACAGTCGTTTTGAAACATCGTTAAGACTCGCCCTAACATTCCACGCAGCTGCATGATATTTATCATTAAAATAATACTAAATCTTCTTTGTTTGGTCATGACATTTGCTTGAAAGGCCGGCTAGACACCTTCTCAACATTCTCGGCATTCAAGATACAGAATTCCGTTAGCCTGTTGGTTAAAATAACGAAGAAACCAAATAGCATCGGGCGTCCATCTTGGTGCTTCGCGCCAAAACAGAGCAGCAACTTTGCAACCGGATGTGATGTCATAAATCGGTGGATCATAGGTACACGAAACAAGTACTAGGCATTGTACTAGGCGCTATTGGAGTCGTGGGCCCCCCCTGTGATGATGATAAACTTTAATTGTTTATACAAGGTTAAA